GATATCTTTCTGATAGAGGTCTCTTTGTTATTTATTTTTTAATGTTCATCATTTCTAACAAAAAGAGAAAGAGACCACCCCAAATGGTCCTCACACCAGGATCCACCCCCAGTCTCAGCTAGCCTGAATCATTGGCATGTGAGCACTTGGGCATACATGCATGCCCTGCATGTTCAAGAAGGTTCTAGAGACATGAACCCAGGACTTTTTCCATGTGAGTCCAGTTACACCACCATTGTTCCTTAATTATGGGGGATGAATTCCAAGATATAGACCATCATGCTCTTAAAGTTAACTGAGATAATGACCTTTTCAAAATCAACAGCTTTGGAACAAACCAGTTTCCAATTAGCCACCATTACCTAGGATCTCATGACTATGAGACCACTGTAAGATATAGCATAACCTATTGGACATGTGAGGGAAACACATGTACAAGAAGCCCGAAGAAAGTCCTCTGACTCAGATAAATCTCCCCAAGCCAGCACCTCCTTAACAATCCATTTTCTGGGACCCACTCCACTTCCTATAACCACTCAGTGTTTGTGTCTCTAACACTATTCTCTGCATATGAGACAAGAACCTATATCTCACTACTGTATCCCACCGCGCCTGATCATCCTTGCACCCCCACATCTCTTGTCAATAACATATGCTTCAGGAAAGTGTTAGGATTTTCCGTTAACTCAATTAGCTTTGTATGTCCACTCCACCCTCATAACACAGCTAAGAATTAAATAAACTGTCTTAGTGCTGACACTGTAAATAAAAAATAAGAGAGTATATTATTTGCTTCCATGTAAATTGAGTGAATTTGATGTTTCTTGCATGTAAAATAAAAGTATCCTACTCAGGACTATTAAAACATCTAAAAATTAACACCAACTGCTCATAGGCTACCATATTAATAAAAAAATAATTAACTATTTTGAAGATACTAGTATTTCCTAAATTCTGTAACATTATGTAGAACTGATGCTATGGCCTAGTTTTAAAGGACTTAGCAAAGCACATCAAGTGCACTGTTCACACACTGGATTAGTAACAGGGTAGTGCTTTTTCCTAGGCAATATTATTTTGAAAGCAGCCACTCTAAGTTTCTTTAATATTTATTCTTGCATCACTAGAAAATTTTTTTCATACTTTGATCAAAGACATGAAAATGTTATTCAAAGTACTTTTTACTTATGCATGATATAAATAGCAGGGAATAAAAATGTTTAATATAAGAAAATGAAAAGCTGGTGAAATCTGCCTCATGTGATTTACTAGAATCTGTGGGAAATTGCATTTTTTTACCCTATCTGCATAAATAATCTTGAGACACTATGGTACTTCTTTTTAATAAATTGACTCCTAAATTACTTTCCACTGTGTAAAACACACATCATTTTAAATTCACTAAGTTTGCTTTTAGTTATCACACACTGGTCTAGACAAAGTCTCATTAAGGCTATAACGTTCTTTCAATTATTAGAGCACTATAGAGACTATTTAATAAGTACAGGCCAAAAGATTAAAGTCTTTGCAAAGATTACCTGACTCATTTCTGCAGAAATCCTGACCTTCATCAAAAATATTGTCTCTAAGGCAGTGGAATATGCTACTTGCTTTACACACACTAAAAATCAAGTCTTTGTCCCTGTCTCCAGCTGGAAGGACAGTGATTCATAGGAAATGAGGTCGGTGAACAAGAGAGCAAAATCTGGTTTGAAGAGAGAAAAAAAAGGGGGGGTATAAATAAATAGAACGTGGTTGTGTGGAATTGGCTGTCATCCACTTAGCTCAGGTCATTTTCTAGAAAGCCTTCTCTGCCATGCCCAAACTGAGTTAGGTTCTCCTAGAACACATTGTATTTGTCACATTATACTGTAATTATTTATTTATGTGTCTATCTCCACTATATTAGAATTTAAAACTAAAACTAAGTCATATTTATCCATAGAACAGATACAGTATCATCACTAATGATTAGATTTCCAATGAAGAAGTCACCAAAATAATATATTGATATCATAAACTATTAAAATTAAATATAGATGTTTTCTTTACAAGTATTCTGTCATGCAACTGTAGAGGTCAGCATTATGCTATTTATTACCTGACATGCTTCATTGAAATTCATTGATAAAAACTATCACAGTAAGGTGTTGACCACTTTGAACTTTGTAAATGACTCATCTTAACCCCACATACCCTCCAGGAAACAATTTAGTGATGATTCACAAACCACAATGAATATATTTTTATAATTATACAGCGATGCTTAGAAAGTTGTGAATCAGGACACAAAGCTCCCAGGCAGTGAAAGCCCAGTCTACTAAGACATCTGGATATATTCATCAACTGTGGAAACAGGGCCAAGTGATCAATCTCCCTAACTTAAGCTTTACTAACTTAGTTCCTGAGTCTATAAAACAACTCCTCAACACTACTAGCAACTTTGGCAGTGAAACCAATGGGCTTCCTCTGGCCTTAGCTTCTGAACATAAATTGCACTAAAATCACCATTAAAGTCAAAGCCTAAGGTCAATGCCACTTATCCAGAACTTCAAAAATTGCTTACAGGGACTTCAAAACATTTGTGGAAAAATGGATTTAAAGTATGAGTTTATTTTGGTACAAAAATGTGTTTTTTTGAAATTCATAATTTTTTTCATAATATACATTTTCTATAAACTTTTCAGACACCCCTTATATATACATATACTTAAAATATACAGAAATTTTCTAACACAAAAATCTATGATCATTACTTGACTGATGATAAAACTCACTTCCTCCCTTTGCATTTACTAAGAATTATCTTCCTGATGATGCTGCCATTACTTAGCTAAGGCTTAGAGCTGAAGATTTCTCACTCTAAATACATAGCATTTGGGGAAATTTGGGGAATATCAAGCTCTCTAGCCACTTGTAAAAAGATATGGGGTATTTCTGATGCTCTGAGTGGGAGAGATTCCAATATATGTTTGTATGTCTAAAATATCTGTATCTGTCTTTGTTGGGTACTCGCATGGCATTAGTATACAAGGCCACTCTCCTGGTTTAGTAGAAACTGTAAAATAAATTTTTAAAAATTGTGTTTAACATGGAATAAAATACCAGTGAGTCAGTAATGAAGAAGGGCCTCTGATAGAGAAAGCAATCAATTTGATTTGGGTGATCTAGGAATAGTTGAGATAACTACCAAATGGTAAGGGTATGTATGTAGTTATACTTGGGTTATTTTCCTGTGTAACTTTATATGTATTTTTACAATAAATTAGAAAAACAGTCAACAGCTTGGGATGGAAAGCAAATGATAATTTAAAATAAACACATTTTGGCATACCTTTATATAGCTGGATATATTTATATTTATGTGAAATATATATATGTGTGTATGTATGTATGCATGTATATATATGTGTGTGTGTATATATATATATATATATAAAATGAATCATATATTGCCTTGTTGAATATTTATTTAGGGTCTATTTCTTGAGAGAAAGTTTAGTTTAAATGCAATAATGAATAAAAATAGACATGGGTCTTAACTTTTTAGACCTCATATGACAGACTGGTAAACAATATTGTACTGTAAATTATAAATATATCCTTCCAAGATGGTCAAAAACTCAAAATCTTTAAAATGGGAATGCTTAAAGATCGGAATGGTTATTAGAATTGATGAAATTTACAATGTAAAAGAAGTTACTATTTAGGCTTCCATTTTTTATCTCATTACTTTTGTGACTGATGGGAAAGTAAGAAATAAACATGGTGAATTTGTGTATTTGATGTACTTTATTGTGATGTACTATATTTATTATACTGGGAGGCATAATAAATTTTTGGTGATTCATTATTTGGAATTTTTGCTTGTATTATCTATTTTCAGAAAATCTTTAAAAATTTTCCATACCTTTTCCCACGCAAAGATACTACTATAAAGTTTCCATAAAAATACTGTAAACATTGCAAAAATATAGCAAAAACATATTATCTGCAATACCCTTGAGGTTATGTTAATATATGTGATGATATAGCATAAAATGCAATAAAATGGATCTCACGAGGCTATGTGGTTCAAATCCTGACTTGGCAGCTTGAAAAACAACCCGGGTGAGTGTGTGTGGGTCCCAAATCAGACAGAATAGAGAAATGTATAAGAAAGGACTGTGGTGTGACCATATCCCATTGAGGGGTACTTTCTCCTCCCACTCTACCTCTCTTTGGTATGTGAACACACATACTCTGGTTTAAAAATAATAATAATTTATATAATATTTATTTTTAAATATTTGTATGATTATATATAATATCTTTAAACAGTCTATGAATAGTGGTTATTTTGTGAGAATTTGATTACTCGAGATATCATTTTCCTTTATTGATTTAAGTTTTTATTTGTTTATTTATTTATTTTCATTAGGAAGAAAGAAAGATGGAGGGGAGCGAAGGCAAGAATCCAAACAAGATCTCCTGGCAGCGCCTTTGCCCCAAATTTCTCAGCTAGCCTGGGTCTCGAGCGTATGTGACCCACAAGTGTGTCCCAGAATGCACAGGTTAAACCAAGAACCAAATCCCAATGCTCCAGTATTTCAGAGAAGTGTCACCACAACTGGGCCAAGATTTTTCTTTTCTTTTCTTTCTGTATTTGTGTACTTCAAAATTCATAGCTTTTATATATTTTAAATATCTTCATAAGCCAAGCTTGACATCAGTAAAAAAACTGAAGGTCAGTCATTTGGAGCAGAAGTAAGGCATCTGCAGTGCTGAAGCCATATGGGAAGGTCCTGGATTTGAAGAATCCTGTGTACACTGACTGCATACACATGCCCATTATCCTGGCAGGTTGAGGCTGTGGGTAGGATAGTGGGAAGTAGACTCTATTGAGGGTGCCTATCTCTTCACTCTCTGTTTTTCTCCCTTTCTTATAAAATAAATAAATAAATAAACTTTAAATAAACATTTGAGAACCTCCTAAAAGAGAGTCGAGCAGACTGACTTACCCTAGTCCCAGCAGTTGACAAACATCATTTGAAATCTGGGTGGTCCAGTTCTCTGCACAAGCTACATGCCATATGCTCTGGATTCTGAACTGCACCAAACCGCTGTTCTTTGTGCCATTAAAAAGACGCACTGAAGACACAGAGAAGAGTGAAGATTATGAGGAGCGTGGGGAGATGGTGGTCAAAGGGTACAAAGTTTAATTTAAGCAAGAGGGATACCTATTCTGAGATCTACTGTGCTGTGCTGTGACTACAATTAATGTATTACATGTTTAAAAATTGCTAAGAAAATTCAGATTTTCTCACCTCAAAAAATAATAAGTGTTTGATGGATTGGACTGATTAGTTAACCAACTTGTTTCATATTATATACACATACCTTTTCCTCACTTTGAACCTCATACATAAAATTATGATTTATCATTCTACAATAAAATTTTTAAAATACAACTTTGATCTCCTCAAAAAGATACATTAAAGAGGGAACCAGCAGTTAGTGTAATGGCTATGTCGCTGCATGTTAACTCTTGCTAATGGAAATGAGGACTGAAGTGTTCAAATCACTGGGAAATGTTCAAATCACAAACATTGAAACCTATCCTAATAAACACATTCATAATATTCCTTTGACATGTGTGGAATTCAAATGTAAAGGATAAAATGATAGAAGTATCTTCCTAAAAATAAGACATACCACAATGTGTTTCATCTGAGCCATCCTTACAGTGTGGGTGACTGTCACAGAGATTCACCAGAGGAACACATTCCCCATTTTCACACTGAAATTCGTCTTCCTTGCAGGGCTCTATGGGAAAAGAAGGTTTATTGTACAGAATTAAAATATTATCAATAGATGAGTCTGGAGTATCCATGCCTTTTATGTCTCTTTAACATCATCCCTTTGCCACAGTATTTGGGGGAGCTAACTTGGATATTATTGAGCAAGATCAGCACTTTGTTGCTCAGAGTGCCTCAGAAATAGTGTCAAAACAAGAGATGTCAGTAGAGAAGAGTGTGGATAAAACCTCAGGCATCTATTTTGCAGAAAAGCTTGGGCAGTTTTAAGAGATGATTGTGAAGTTTTGGATACACCTCTCCTTTATAATCTGTTAGCATCTCTTCTATAAACTCCTACATGTCAAATCAACATGTAAACAACAGCCAATGAAGTGTTAAACAAGCACAGAGAGGTCCTCTGGCCTCATCATTACATGATGTCTCCAAACATTTATTATATAAGCATATGGTTTCTGCTTTCGGTGGGAAAAAGTTGTACTGCATTGGAAAAGGTTGGCTTAATTAAAGCTTGGTCAGGTAGGAAAAGGTAGTCACAAAGAAATGAAAATCTTACAACAGCAGTAATATGAAGAGAAGTTTGGGATGGAGCTCTAAACAGATTAAACAATGTTGGAGTTATGGGATTGTGCTTGGCCCATAGAGAAGCAGAAGGAAAACCAAGAGGCTGAACAAAGGAGGCACTGGGTGGATCTGGAGACAGTTGGTAGTTGTTTCTAGAGTCTGAGTTGTGTACAAAAACAGGGCTACTAGTAATATTTATTGTTTTGAGAAAGTGGGTACTGCTCTTTCGTAGAACTGTTTGGACCTAGAAAACTCTCATATCGCTGTGATGAGAGGTTTTCTTATCTCAAGTTGATTTTTGACTATGGCTTATGAGGGACAGCCACGTGTTAAGAGAATACTCAGATCTCTGTTGAGGGTTGCAGGGAATTTGGATGCCTCATAAAAGCATGGCCCTTGGGACCAGCAGATGGAATAATAGTTACATTGCTGGACTTTCACATAATCGACTAAGGTTCAAGTCTCTGACTCAGTGGCTTTAAAATCACGACAGGCACATGTGCATGTGTGCCCAAGATCCTAGGAGGAGAATGGAGGAGAAGGGATTGTGGCATGACCATCCCCCTAGGGATCATTTCCTGCATTCTGCCTCTGTCTCTCCAGTGAGCACACATATAGCAGAAATATCCCTCAAAAAAATAAAAAGTGTGATTCTTAATAATAGAGTTGACACTGTATAAAGAAAAATTTTAAAGTACGATTTAAAAAACATACATTTTGAAATTTAAAGCAATCAATGATAATTCTAGTTAAGTGAAAAAGAGAAATCGATTTTAGTAACTATGAAGATATAATTTAATTACTTGAATGGTGGTTAAAAACAGGTTCTGGGGAACCAGCAGTTAGTGTAATGGCTGTGTTGCTGGACTCCCACGTAGTCGACTGCAGTTCACATCCCAGACCCGGTGGCTTAAAACTCACGCCGGGCACATGTGCGTGTGTGTCCAAGATCCTGAGAGGAGAATGGAGGAGAAGGGATTGCGGCGTGACCATCCCCCCTGGGGGGTGTTTTCTCGCTTTCTGTCTCCATGTCTCTCTCTGTCTGTCTGGCGAGCACACACGCCCTATAGCAAAAACCTCTCCAAAATAAAAAAGAAGAAAAAACAGGTTCTGGGGACCAGCAGTTAGCATAATGGCTATGTCGCTGGACTCCCATGTAGTCGACACGGGTTCGAGTCCCGGACCCGGTGGCTTAAACTCACGCTGGACACATGTGCATGCATGCCCAAGATCCTGAGAGGAGATTGGAGGAGAAGGGATTGCAGTGTGGCCGTCCCCTCTGGGGGGGTGATTTCTCATTTTCTATCTCTCTGTCTCTCTCTGTTTGTCTGGTGAGCACACACGCCGCCCTAAGACAAAAACACCACAAAAAAAAAAAAAAAAAAAAAACAGGTTCTGGAATTGTGTGATCTGGTTTGATCTTCAATTTAGTCATTGATTTTTTGTTTTGCTTTATTTTTCTTATTCAACTTTGGACAAACAAATTAATTTCTCTAAGAGACAGTTTCCTTGATTGAAATAGGAACAAATAATATTCATGTCTCAGGTATATCATAAGAGTAAATTAAAACAAAATAATTAAAAGTATTCAGCATATCAATATGTGTACATCAAGTGCTCAAAACAGTATTCTTAGCAGTAAAATAGTATATTTTAAAATCACCCTAAGTTGACATTCTTACTACTGTGTGCTAGTTCTGCCAGTTTCTTCTCAAGATGATCAAATAAACAAACAAACAAAAAAAAACCCCAGCCATTTTCTATATATACTTATAAAAATAATTCAAGTTATTTGTACATTTTTGTTTTTATTTTTTAAGAGAGATTTTTGTTATAGGGCATGTGTGTTTTCCAGAGAGACAGAAAGAGGGAAATCCCCCCCCTCCCCCAGAGGGGATGACCACACCACAATCCCTTCTCCTCTATCCTCTTGGAATTTTGGGTATACATGTACACATGCTCAGTGTGAGTTTCAAGCCTCCAGGTCTGGAACTTGAACCATCATCGGCCATGTGAGAGTCTAGCCACGTAATCATTATGCCATCTGCTGGTCCCTGCATATTATATTTTAAACTTAAAAAATATCCATTTTTTAAATCTAAATTGAAGTTACCTTGCTACATTTTTTTTATTTTAAAATTTTAAAATTTCTTTTTATTTCAATTTCTTTTATACATTCAATCACATGTTACTTAGCTTACAAAGTGAATACTCCAACATGTGTACATTTCTCACCAGTCCAGCTGACAATACTATAAAGTTATCTTCAATAGATAATAAGCCATTTCTTTGTCCCATAAATGCCTTACCTCACTATTTTTCTCCTTAATGTCTTTCCTCAGACTCTACTCCTTCACCCACCCTCTTCCCACACTGTATCTGGTATTCACAACCATTTACTAAGTTTCTATAACCTTTAGTCATTCAGTTTCTACGATAGGGTGCAGACATTTTTTTCTAAAGATTTTTGTTTGTTTTTCCATTAGATTTCCTACACTTGCCAGCAATAGGGACAGTGAGAGGGAAAATGGGAAAATAGCTCTCAGAAAGGGTGGCACCACAATTCCTTCTCCTCCATTTACCTCCTAGGATTTTTCTAGGCACACACGCACAGGTGGCCCGTGTGATTTTCAAGCCACCTGTCTGGGACTCAAATAGTGAACAGTCATCTGGGAGTCCTGAGGTTTAACCACTACACTATTTGCTGGTGTAATAATTTTTTAATAACTATTTTAAAGAAACCATAATATGAGATAGTTGTTTTATAAACTTTATTCCATGAAAGAAACAGGTGACTTGTTTCAAATATAATTAGAGAGGTTCTTATAAATTCAATGATTAAGTTTTCCCAAAAAAACAATTTTTTCAATAATTAATTTATTTAACTTTAGTTATTTATTATTTATTTATTTTAATTTGACCAGAGAGGTACAGAGTAAAAGAGAGAGAAAGTGAGTAAACAAGCCACTAGGTCTGGGACTCAAACCATGTTTGGCTGTGTGGGAGTCCAGCACCCTTAACCACCACACCACCTGCCAGCCCCCAAAACACATGTTTTTAACCAGACTGGTGATATTATGAATAGATAAAGACAACTACTTATTTTATAGGCAAGCATTAATATTTTAACTTACTTTATAGCTTATCTTTCTGGTATTAATTTCTTTTAGAAAATAGGAGGTTTAAAAGTAAGTAAGTGCATTAATATTTATACATCTATTTAAAATCTATATTTCAATATATTTATTCAAAATTTTGAGAGACTATATATATATGACAAAATATTTTAATACATTTACAGAATGGCACTAGTAGTTATTTTATTTCTTTTATTTTTAAAGAACTTTTTATTTAAGTTTTAATCATTATTATCTTTTTTATTTATTTATTTTTTAGAGATTTTTCCTAAAGAGTATGTGCACTTATTAGAAAAACAGAGACAGAGAGACAGAAAGTGAGAAATCACCCACGGGAGGATGGCTATGCTACAGTCCCTTCTCGGTTCTCCTATTGGGATGTTGGACATGCACACACATGTTCCCGGCTTGTTTCAAGTCAGTGGGTCCAGGACTTGTACTGCAGTTGGCCACATGGGCTTCTAGTGCTTTAACCACTATGCCAACTGCTGTCCCCCTTGCTATTATTTTTTTAATTTGCTACAGGGTACATGCACTCACCAGAGAGAAGGGAGAGAGTGAAAAAGGGGGTAGAGAGAGAGGAGGATAGGGAGAGAGAGGGAGAAAGAAAAAGGGAAAGTGAGAAAGGAAGCTGCCAACTCCAGGACTCAAAGCTTACTTACCCATGTGAAACTCCAGCACCATAACCACCATGCCACCTGTTTGCCCCACCAGTATTTATTTATTTATTTATTTATTTATTAGAGTTTTTTGCTATAGGGTGAGTGCACTTGCCAGAAAGAGACAGAGAGACAGAAAGCGAGAAATCACCACCACCCCCCCCAGGGGGGCTGGTCATGCCATAATCCCTTCTCCTCCATTCTCCTCTCAGGATCTTGGGCATGCACACACATGCATCTGGCATGAATTAAAGCCACCGGGTCCAGGACTCGAACTGCAGTCGATTTCATGGAGTCCAGCAACATAGCCACTACACCAACTGCTGATCTCCAACCAATAGTTATTTTAAAATGATTTCATTACTTTATATTTGTAGCTTGTTAAAATCTATGTGCAAAAATGAGTTCTTAAACAGAAAAAGGAATGTAGAGGCCAGCTAGTGGCGTGGTGGTTAAGGCACTAAATTTTCACATGGCAGATTAAGGTTTAAGTCTCGGACCCAGCGGCTTGAAAATGAGGACAGGTGTGTGCATGTGTGCACACGCAAACCAAATCCCAAAAGGAGAATGGTGAATAAGGGATTATGGCATGAATATCCAGGGAGGGAGCTGATTTGTCACTTTGTCTCTGTCTCTCTTTGGCAAGTGAA